TGCAACATAAACAAACACAAATAAATATATATTATATATATGATATATAAAAATAAAGTTGCACAAAATAGACATGATTAAATCAAATAAACAATAAATACAAATCATTTTAAAAATGGAAAAAGGTCCCATGAAACCAGTTAAATAATGAAATGACATTTAATGTTAAATTCAATAAGATATTGATGTAGTATGTAAATGTATGTTATATGCAATTTTTGAAGCTTAACCTACCTTTACTCACAAATAAAAAAATTTTGCTGCTTGGGGGCCTAAGCAGTAATGGTCACACTCAGTGGTGGACAAAGTACTAAACTATAGTACTTGAGTAAAAGTATTGTTATATTGAGTATTGATTGCTGAATAAAAAATCAAAAATCTACTCAAGTTCAAGTACTACAGTACTCATTTTTGAAAAAAAAAATCAAAATTAATGTATTAATATCAGTGCATTGCTGTAAAATTGTTGGAGTTTACAGAACTAACTTTCAGAAACCACCTGACGTATCGATGTTGAGAACCACGGCTATAAATGCTACACCACCTGTTTGAGATTTTCAGCATAAAATGTAAAAAAAAAAATAAGGAAACTACTTGATCATTATTTCTTTTTGTTTGTTTAAAATCACACACAATACAAAACAGGAGAGTCTTGATTTTCCTCACATTTTCACTATGGAATTGAGGCTTAAGATTGAATCAATTGCCACCAGAGATGGCAAAAGTACTCACTTTCCGTACTTGAGTAAAAGTACAGATACTTGTGTTAAAAAATACTCTGGTAGAAGTGGAAGTACTGATTAAACTTCTTTACTCAAGTAAAAGTAACAAAGTACAGGCTTGTAAATTTACTTAAAGTATAAAAGTAAAAGTAGAAACCACTTTTTTCATGGCTTTGCCTACATTTTAAATGGATGTCTGCCAATAGGACTAGATCTCCGTTGTGTTCATTTTCAATCATCTCGTCGTCCGTACTACTATGCTAACGCCACCGCCACCAAGCTGCAATGATTTGCCACGAATAAATCGCGCCGAATCTGTTGATTCATCTTGTAGTGGTGCGTCAAATGCAACATAGATTCCCATCCAATTAGATTGAATTTGGTATTGATGACGTGAAAAATAATAACGGTAACTCCATTGAAATGATTCAAAACTAAAGTAACGAGCCAATTTTTTTAAAATGTAAGGAGTAGAAGTAAAAAGTCGCCATAAAAATAAGTAGTAAAGTAAAGTAAAAATATCAGAAAAATCTACTTGAGTACAGTAACGAAGTATTTGTACTTTGTTACTTCCCATCTCTGAGTAATTATAATACATAAATTATGATAGATTATCCATAATATGATCAGGCACAACACTAAGACCAGCAAAGACACTATGATGGGTCTGTGGTAATAAAGCATCACAGGCAATAAAGTATGATACACCGTGTCCTGACACAGCTGCATTAGAGCAAGCATAACTTCTAGTAATATGAGCTGCATTAACTAATCAGTTGGACTGAAGCTGGCAACTCTTTAACACTTGGCGACAACTTCTATCTTTCTTGTTGCTATTATGTTAAATACTGACCATTGCAGACCTGTCATACCCCAAAAAGAGCTGCACTTTTAGAGATAAATCAGGGAAAAAAATGAATACAGGCTGAGGGTTGCAAACATCATGCAAATACATTATTGTGTAGGAAATACAAAAAGTATAACCAATAGCCAAATTTAGGCCTGCAAACACTAAACCAAGCAAAAATGCTACAAAGGAGCATAATAAATGCAGCAAATAAAAAAATGCACCGATCATATCAAACAGGGAGCAGAAAAGTGCAAAAATGCTGCAAATATAAACCTGTAACAAAATGCATACTAAATAAGGTTTACACACAAGCAGCATGAACAAGCCCAATTAACAAAATACTGGAGGTAGCTTAAAGAACTGCAAGTGAAGAAATGTTCCAGTTCGCTCTACATAATGGAAGGGCTCCAGAACACTAGGGGGAGACAATTATCAATGTGCATAGGACCAGACCATAGACTTTACTACGACCTAATGAGTCATTCCAAATAGTGCAAATCAGTAAGGACAACTATGCAAATGTGGAAATTCTTTGGTGGTTGGCATATGATAAATGCTGCTGAACACTCCTGGTAGTAAGGAAGGAGATAGGAAAAAAAGCAGGATTTTAAGTAACCACTTTTCATTTAGCAAAGGGATTTATGAGGTACAATTTGAGGTATTAGGAATCAGACAAATTGCAAAGAAACGTAGATGAGATGCCTACCAAGAAGACATTTTGAGGGAAGAAAGAAAAGGTCCATCTGCCTTTGAACCTTTTTAAACATGTTTCTGAACATTGTGTTTATATCATTACTCCAGGTCTGGTTCCAAATGAGTTGATGATGGTTTCCCCCTAGTGGTCTGGAGCTCTTCCATTATGCAGCGCTTGTCTTCAGTTTTTCTTAACTTGCAGTTGTTTCCGCTACTTGCATCATCTTCCCTTTTCACATTTTTTGTGTTTATGTGTAGACTTCATTCATGTTTTTGCAGCAGGTTTGCATTTGCAGGTTGTTTGCACCATTTCTCTTTTGCAATATTTCCCTTCACATGTGTATTTCCCTTCACGTGTGTTTTGTGTGTTTGCTAGTGCATGTCTCATTGTCTCATTTTTGTCTTTGCAGTAGATCTATGTAATTATATGTATTTGCAGTGTGTTTGCACCCCTCAACCATAAATTCTTCTCTAGAGATATTCTTATTTCATTTACGTACTCTAGGAATAACTACTATGAACACAATAAGCAGTTTCTATAGCAATCTAAAGCAAAAAAGGAGCAACCATTTCCTCCTTTGAGGTTCTGAATTTCTAATTTTGTATTCTATTCTATTCTGTTCATTCTTCTCCTTTGCTCTGAAGAATAAAGAAGCAAAAATGTCATGTTAAATCAAAAGAGAATGTCTAAAAAATATTCATTAAGTTAATACCTCCCCAAAAGTTGCCTTCAATAATCTTACCTATATCTAGCAACACACAGACAGACTTTCCCTGTGAATCGTGGTTTGGATCTTGTAGTTGAGCTCAGCTCTTTGTCCATCTGAAAAACAACACACATAATCCAGCTTTCTGTGCCGCAGTGAACTAACCTTCACGTCATGTTCAGCCGACCAGAGAATCACATTTATAGAAAATGATATGGTGTTTTATGGGGGACAATATAATATCAGTTGCTGGATTTTTCATAAAAAACAAACACACTTCTACAAAAATAAAGTATTCTCTAAACTGGTGGTTTGGCTGTTTCTACTTAGCTTTAAAACAGAGGGAGAGAGAGATATTAGGTAAAAAAAAAACACACACACACACACACACACACACACACAAAAACAGAGCTGCTGATCAAAACACAGCAATAGTGTAGTGTTGGACATGCCTCTTGGTCCAAATATAAAACTAATAAATATAAAACTTGTTCCTGGGAAAAAGTTTGCTTAAGGCTCTTGCCTATTTCATAGTTTAATTATCTGAAGTTAAAATTTTTCATTTCAAATAATAAGTTAGAAAAAGATATTTCTTGCGGAGTCCCTAAAGGGACATGGAGGGAAAAAATAAACTTTTGCGAGATCCCGCAAAACTTTTGCAAGAACCCTCAATACTTTTGTAAGATCTCGCAAAACTATTGCAAGATCTCGCAAAATTTTCCTTTCCCCCCACCCAAAAAAATAAGGCTTGATGACATTCAAGTCAATGCTTTTATGCTTTATCTCCCCTCTGCCTTCTTCCAGCAGGTAAACAGTTGGTCCTTCCAGAATCGTCCCCAAGGTTCGAATATATAATCGCTCTTAGATCTCAGACATGAAAGACTCGCATACATCCTCCCCAAATGCCCTCTGAGGTGTTAGGTTCACTTTCATAGAGCGGAAAATAGACTTGAGTGGAAAACTTTGTCAGGGAATAATATCTCCTGATTAGGCATTTCCTAAAAGCAGAGCCTTAGAAGAATTTCTGACTTTTTAAAAGTATGTTTTCCCTTTAATTTTTATAAATATGGAAAGTTACATTTCTTGTGTTAGATATTTGGATTAAAATACATATTTTTATTAAGGATTATTAATTGCTTTATTAAAAAAAATCTAAAAAAAACTTTCTCTTTTAGGAGATGTTTTAAGTTGGTGAACCCTAAATACATTTCTTGGTTGATTTTGAACCTCTAAAACAGGTAGATATGCCTGTGTACCATGGCCACAAGCAAGCATATACAATTATTCTTTGTCTTTGTCTCCATCTACTGGCGCTAATTAAAACTGCAGCTATATGAAAAAAACCGCACCAAGCACTGCCATCAATTGAGCTGATTAATGCGCTTAGAAAAATAGTACCAACCCTTATATATCTGTTTATAAAACCATATGTTCTTATAGACTTACAATGTCATGATCTTTTAAAAAATAAAACCCAATAATTACTTAAAATATTCATCGTTGAATGTTATATATTACTAAAAGAAAATTAAAATCGGAACGGCGTATTAATTTTGGTTTGCCTGGAGTCTTAACTAACGGTCAGATTGTCCTTTTTTCGATTTCAGATCGAGTCTGAGAGGGATTCTGCGTGAGAAGGATTCTTTTAAAAGTAAGTGTTATTTGGTTAATTGAATAGAAAAAAAATAGATGTCCAATTAACATTTTGTTGAGTTATTTTATGATAACCTAAATCAATGTATTCAGATTTTCAATGATAAGCTAAAAAAAATTATAACCTTCATTATATGTTTAAAATTCAATATACAATAAAGTACAGTCATGTTGTTTGGTGCCATTTATTTTTCTGTCTTCATTTACTTGCTTGAATCTGGTTAGCTTGCAGAAAGTTAGCAAGATAACCTTGAGGCATTAGCCATAGCTTAATAGTTCTAGAACTTTCGGTTTTGTATCAGTTAATGTGGTAAATTGTATGTTAAAAACACTTTCTTCCACATCTATAAAACATTTAATTTAATTTTCTTACAGCTCTAACGTTTCAGAATATCTGAAAATGAGCGGTCGGGCACGAGCTAGATCAAGAGGCCGAGCACGTTGCCAAGAGACGGTGCCTGGAGCGGTAAGATGTCCGCCGTTCTCTCCATGAACACCAACCTGCTGACGCGCAGTGTTCCCTATCTCCGCCATCTTGGTTCCAGGCCCATTTATGGAACTCCATTAAACACTTTATAGATTTTTATATTCTTGGTATATTTTTATATCGGACAACATATATCTATATATAGAGAGATGGATGTATCATATATAGTTAGAGATATAGATATCATTATATAATATATATCTATAGCTATATATTATATACACTTTTATATACAAATTTATGTGATTTAAATGAACGGTTTAACTACTAATTCTGAACTCTGTTTAAGATTTCTGATAAAAAGAATACGTATGATAATTTTCTACATGCACTAACCTTTCAAAGTATACATTTCTAGTCACCTAGCACACAGTGAAACATTTTTTTTTTTACATTTCAGATCCTCTGCTTTCCCCTTTTTCGTAATCATAAAGTAATGACATAATTTAAAATATAAAAAAAATGAATGTTTAAAGAAGGGTAGAAATGTTTGATAGGTTCTCAAAGAATGTTTAACATGAAGACAAAACCAACATTTTTCTTCCGAACTCTTAACCATGAAGATATTTCAGTGAACTTTAAGTGTTCGATCTGACAATTCGGGTATTTGTAAAATTGTACACAACATAAGAACTACCAAAAATAACCATTTATGGTTTTTTTTCATAATTGTGGGCCTAATAAATAAGAGGAACATTAATGATCTAATGATAGCCTATGGCTCCCAACCAGGGTTACTCATACCTCTAGTGGTCTGTGAGTGCATTGCAAGGGGTACATGAAAATATTTTATTTCTTACATATTAATAGTAAATAAAATAGGGCTGGGATCTGTTTTTGTTTTGTGAGGACCCAAATGAAAAATTAAACGAGCTTCTATCAACCAAAAAAGTTTTTGTTCTTGCATGTTTGAGTTCACCTTCAGCTTTGACATGCATCAAAACCAAGCAGTTTTTCACACTGTGCTATAGGAGCTCATCAAAGAATTATTCTGTTCTGTATTTTGTTCCCAATTCATCAGGTTTAATGTGATTATAATGGAGTTACTCAAAGGAGCTCCAGTTTTATAAATACAGGTTTATAATGTGATTTTTATTTTGTATTTATTTCGATTCCTTACTTGCTTCCAAGCAACATATGTTTTGTTTTGTTTTTTATTTGAGATGGAAAGCATAAAATGCCTAAGAGTTAAATGCTCAAAGTAAAAGATTAAGTATAAATATATATATATATTGTACATTCCACTTTTGGACAATCAATACTTTTGACTGGGGGGTACTCGTAGTAACAGATTCCATAGTGATTCCATAGTGAAAGTCTGAGGAGAATCAAGACTACTGTTTTCTATAATCAAATTAGCTGTCCATATTTTGGGGAACTTTCCAGGTGGTGTAGAATCTGTAGCAGGTGCTTCTAATCATCAGTACATCAGGTGGTTTCTTAAAGTTACACGGTTCTTTAAAATGACTGTAAAAATTATTCAGAAATGTACTGATATTAGAAAAATTAATTTGTACTGTTGAATACTTCAGTACTTTTAAACCCATGTACTTATGAAGTATTTTCAAAAGCGAGTACTTCAATACTTAAAATTAGGTACATCTTTGAGTAACTTTTACTCAAGTAGTACTGTCCTTCATCCACCACTGCAACTCTCCCTTCTATTTGCTCATCCTCATCTTCATCACCTCTTTAGAGGTTTAATGTTACTAATTGCTGTTTTATGCTGAATTAAGCTAGCGCAAGAGGACCTAGCATATGTCATTTACCCAGAATGCATTGCAATGTAAACATGACAGTATCTGTATTGAAATATTTTATTTAAACTAAACATTGTGCAGTATTTTTTATTGTGTTGTATTAAATCATAAATAAATATTTTCAAATAAAATGTATTCTAACCTATCATGGATCCCTTTAAGAGGATTTGACATTTTTTACTTTTTGTGGAGATCCTGGCCGAGGCTGCGCAGGCAGCACCAGCACCTACCCCCTCTGCAGAGGGGGACCTGGTTGGTCGAGGCAGACAAAAGGGTGTTCCTGGAACCATAGCCAAAGAAGGTACAGTTCATTTAAAGTGGTTTTGTTTATGCCTGTCATGTGTTTACGTAAAGTAGGGTCAGATGTGGATGCTGAAGATGGGGATTACAGTTTGAAAAGCTTATGGGTTTGTTAATGTTTAATTTATCGTAAACTGAATTGGTTTATCAGGTGTTCTGGAGATTTCAGCTGGATTTCAGCAAATTAAGCTGGGAGAGCGAGGTGGACGCCGGCGGGACTTCCATGATGATGGGATATTCACCAGACAAACCATGGCCCATGTGAAGGATTCAAAGACTGGTCAGATTTTATTATAGTCGTATGCCTCAGCACTGAAATACTATCAAGCTAATATTCTATAAACACTTCCACAGGAACATCCGGTGCCGTCATACCATTGACCGCAAACTACTTCCGGATCCTGTCTCGCCCGCAGTGGATTCTCTATCAGTACTATGTGGACTTTAAACCCCCAATGGAGTCGAGGCGCTTGAGAACTGCCCTCCTCTTGCAGCATTCAGAAATGCTCGGTTCATCTAGGAACTTTGATGGAGCAATTCTTTTCCTGCCTCACAGGCTCGACTCCAAGGTATTGACTTAGGAATTGGCATTGACAAGTTTAAACCAGCTGGTTTTATTTCTGTATTAAACTTTTTTTATTTTTATTATTATATGATGTGAGTTAAAGGCAGAGCTATAGGAAACGCCTCAGTGTCGGGCGCCAAAGGCACGCATGGCCTCAGTAAATCGTTCCCTGATGAACAGTTTATACCAAAACTGAAATCTGGATTACAATGTAAATTGTAGTTGACATAAAGAGATTGATTGATTGATTGATTTGAGTTGATATTAAGGCCAATGTTGGATAGTGAGCCATTAAATGAACAAAAATGAACATGCATTAAAATAATGCACTCATGCGCTCTATTTTGGCACTCGAGTTAGGCTTATAAAATCTGTTAACAAAAAACAAAACTGTTAAATTGAAATTCATCATACTTTAAATGTCTTTGAAATTATATTCTTTTGATTCATTTAAGTTCCCTTCCTCAAATGTTTTCCATATATGACTGCACTTCCAGGAGACTGTCGTCCACAGTGAGACGAGGAATGGAGAGAAGGTTGTAATAACCATCACCTTGACAAACGAGCTCCCACCCAATTCACCAGTGTGTATTCAGTTTTACAACATCTTATTCAGAAGGTAGGTCAGAGTGTTGGAAAAACACCAGGAACCCCATTTTGAAATGTCCATCCAACGTTGGCAATCATTTAAAGCTGGAAGTCGTCGTCTCTTTCATAAACTGTGATTTCACAGGATCCTGAGAATCCTCGACATGCAGCAGATTGGGCGGAACTACTACAACCCCAAAGATCCGCTTGAGATTCGACAGCACAAGTATGTTGGATATTATTTTTTGACAGTACCGTCACTTTATAGAGATTCAGTAGAATATTTCTGGATAATTATGGCTTAGGAGTAAAGACAGCTTTAAAGTTCAGAAATTCAGAATGTTACATTAGACCGATGACAAAAAAGATGTTTTTAACACACAAGCTTCTCAAGAGAATGTCACTTTACTCAGCACTTTGTTAGTTTGCCTTCTGCATTAATTATTGCATTAATGCGGCATGGCAATGAGGTGATCAACCTGTTTTACCGTGTAGGTGACGTGGAAGTACAGGTGTTCCAATCTGATATTAATATTGGTCTGATATTAGCCCCAAAACTAATAATAGATCTTATCTTGCATCTAAAATCTCCGACTTTGCCATGCTGATAGAAACACTATGCTTCTGTTTAAAGTTTCTGTAACTCATTGGTTATTATTACATGGGTCAATAGATCTCGTACCTTTTGTCGACAATGACTCTCTGTTTTAGTAATATCATAGTCACTAAACCAGCTTTTCATACCTTTGGCAGGTGCCAAGTTCTGCTGAAAATACAATCTGAATCTCCATACAGCTTTTTAGCAGAAGTGTGAAGCTCCCTTGAATCTTTTCCTGGTAGATGCAGATTTTTAGTCCACTGAAGTTCCCAAAATTCCTAAATGAATTTTGCTTAACAGTGCTTCTCTCTCTGCTGTTGATGCACCTTGTCCTTCCACATGTCGTCTTTCCACTCAATTTTCCATCATATGTTTGGCTGGAGCACTTTGTACAATAGCCTTTTCTGCAATGACCTTTTGTGGCTTTACCCTGCCACAAAAGGGTGTTGATGACCGTCTTCAGGAAGTCCATCAATACTCAGCACATTTTAACCAGTAACCTTAGAAGGGGACCTCTTTACAAAGCATTTTGACGGCAGTGGGTTGCAACTCTTAAGATTCGTCAATAGCCTCTTCTCAACAGGATTTAAATTGTTTTTTTTGCTTTTTTTACCCTGGTAAAAGGAATCCTGGGAAATTTTTAAGGTTGTAATTCCCATTACTCTAAAAGGCTCCATGAAATAAATCAGCATGATAAAAAAAACAAAAAAACTCTAATATACCTTCTCTCCAGCAGATGGTGGTGGAGCTACAAGCAGAAAAAGTTAAAATATTTATTTTATATTTATGAACCTGAATATGTCCAGCAATTGGAAAATTTACAGTAACTATTAAAATATTAAGACTTAAATGTTTATTTTATTATAGTAATGAAGTACATCTCACACAAGACCTGTGCACAAACAGGGAACGATTTTAGTCAAAACTGCTAACTTTATAATTTTAAGCAAATACTTACCAGAATGTCCCCATTGTGAAATAATAAAAGGATTTTTTTCTACTTATATCAAGTAGAGGATGTAGATGATGGACTCTGATGACCAGACTTGAATAAGAATGTTTGGAGCTCCCTGGGAATCAGCTGTTGCATCCTGGTCGCTCCTCATGTAGAACTGAAAATCGATAAAAAAATAAGACTGACCTTGAAATGGGAATAACAAACTAATCAGCTGAATGGGGAGAAAACAGCACAACTCCAGTTATTTTCTTTAGCTTCAAACTGAAAATTAAATTTGTGAGCAGTCTGGACTTTTTTTTCCCCCTTTCTTTTTAGATTAACAGTTTGGCCAGGATACTCCACCACCATCATGAACTATGAGTCCTCTGTCATGATGTGCACTGATGTGAGCCACAGAGTGCTTCGTAGCGAGACGGTGCTTGACTTCATGATCAACCTGAAACATCAGGTTGGAAGCCAACGCTACACTGATATCTGTACCAAGGAGCTTGTTGGATTGGTCGTCCTCACAAAGTAAGATCTGCCAGATTGTTGCAGTAGTTCACAACATTTGAAAAGTTGACATTGCTTCTATTGGGAGTTTTTCTGACCTACATTAATAGAATTGCCTTTTTTGTAATATAAGGTACAACAACAAAACTTACAAGATTGATGACATTGCATGGGACCACACTCCCTGTAATACTTTCACTAGAGGAGACACAGACATCTCTTTCAGGGACTACTACAAGACTGTAAGAAATGAAACCAAACACACTCGTGGTATCTGTGCATAATGTTTATGTGATCTTCAAAATGACATTTAATCTTTTCTGTCCATAGCAATATGGTTTGGATATCACTGATTTGAACCAGGTGCTGCTGATCAGCCATGTGAAGAGGTTTGGCCCCGCTGGAGCGCCCCCTCCTGGTCCTGCTTTGCTTGTGCCAGAACTGTGCTACCTCACAGGTTGTCTTTCTGTGTTATACTCTATATAGAAGATTAAACCATGTCCTTCCTGTTTTAACTTTAGTACTTCAGTGTAAAAGTACTCTTCATGTTTTGAAGCCATGAAGAGTTGGCAAAATAAATTTTAATGTTGGTCGAGTTTTACAGTGTGGAGCAGTTCTCTAATTGTTGAAAATTGTCCTGATTAGAGCCAAAACATTAAAATTAATCATGATTTATTGAAATAATCGTTAAATAATTTAGTATTCAGTTATCATTAACTGGGGTATACAGACTCTTAACAAATACCATTAGGAGAAAGGTCAACTTGGATCAGTAATTAGGCTGGAAATGTGTAAGATATGTAAACCTTTTGCATTTAATAACTTTTTTTTGTCCATTTATATCAGGGGGTAACCAATTAAAAATAGAAAATAAACAACCAGTACAGGTCCAGAGACATTTTTAATTATAATCTGTTACTTTAAACAGAGTTTAATACTGAAAAAAATGGGGTGTTTATGCCTCCATGTTATACATTGATTGTTTAAATAAAAAAAATATATATATTTTTTTATCTAAAGTGTTTTTTGAAGAAGAGAACAACAATCTTTCAGTTTGGTATACAGACAATTTCCTGATTTACATTTTTTATAAAACATCTGAACTGAATGTTTGTTTTTTTCTTTCTTTTTTTTCTTAATGAGAGCAGTGGGCTTTAGGCTGCCCTGCAAGGATTTAAACCTGGGTTTGAATGGAGACTAAGCCATTCTCAAGCACATATCAAGGTGCTCATTCGTGGGCCTGGATCCATATTTATTTTTGATTCTGTTCAGGGTGGAGAATCCTGTGTTAAATAATAAATAAACTGTGTTAAATAAACACAGTTTATTTAAACGATTGGATGCAAACTATTGGTACTTCAACATACCAGGAAACAGATTTCTCATCTCCATCAGAAACTGCACATATGCTGGATGCTGCTGGGGTTTTTTTTAATGTCATATTAAATTAAGCGTTAATTTCTGCATGTTTTGATCCTACGAATTTAATGATAATATCACGCATGCTCTCCTCGAGCTCCGAGGATAAGTCGCAGCGGAGTAATATGGGAGGAACAGTGCAGGCTGTAGGCTTTGCGCAGGAGGTCTGGATAGAGTCCTGCAACGGGTCGGGTACCCGCGGGTGAAAAATACATAAATAAAAATTAACGGGTCGGGCGGATATTTTTTTAGTGCGGGCGGGTAGTTGGTGATTTTTATTTTTTATATTAATCAGGCACTGTCTGGGGTCACCCTTGTAGCTTAAAGCCCTGCTGGCAGTGTGGGCTTCCCTCCAAAAAGGCCACAGTCAGTGCATACTGTACACGTCTGCTGCAGTGTTAATGGCGCTGCTCTGCAGCGCAGCGTACTATAGCCTATTACTTGATGTGTTAATGGGTCGGGTTCGGATTTGAATTGAAGATATCCGTGGGTGACGGGTCGGGTTCGGTAGTCATCCTAACGGGTTCGGGCGGGTGCGGGTTGGTAAAACTCGACCTGTGCAGGACTCTAGGTCTGGAGCTCTGCAGAGACGGAGGATGTGGGATTTCGGGGTAACAGGAGAAGCGGCGCAAGTGACGTTAGACACTGTCGTCAGACAACATGTGGTAATTTATAAATGTTTTAAATCCGGTTGGATTAGCCAGCAGGTGGGACCTCTGATTTATATGCTCTATGCAGGTCTCCTTAAGAGGTATACTTTCAGCTTAACCTGGTTTAACATTATAAACCTTAAATGAACCATTTGGTAGCAGATATTCATCGATTGATGGGGGAAAATCATCATGATTAGCAAAGAGTTAGTGTTACATTTTTGATGTTTTCAAACTCTTCCTACACCACCATAAAAATCACTCACAAGCCCTATGACCTTTAACACCACGGCCACTAAAAATCACATAAAATGTGTATTAAAGGCAGGATCATAGCCAGCTGGCACAAAAATATAACTGATGTGTGATGCTAAGACACTTGCTATTGTTAATATCCCATCATTTATTGTGATATATTGTGCTGCTCTAGCTGTTGGTACCTAAAAGTAGGCTGGATGTCATACAGACGTTGAAATATGTTGACAGTTTAAGGTGAACTATCTCTTATAGGGTTGACTGATAAGATGCGAAGTGACTTTGCCATAATGAAGGAGCTGAGCGTTCACACCAAACTGAACCCAGATAAGAGGGAGCAACAGCTCACCAGATTTATATCCAACATTCACCAGTAGGTGTGCTTCATGACCACATTACACATGCCAGTAAAGCATTTTACAATTTCATCAGCTCTAACTGCTTAATATTGATATAAGGGATGCACCCACTTTCTAGAGATACTGTATTAAAATTAAAGTTGATAATTTTGTCAATCGATGAGAAAACCTGTTAAGTTTTGATGAAATCCTAAATAGTTCATTCTTTATTTATTTTTTTTTCCTTCCATTTCCAAGGAGCGAGGATGCACAGGCAGAGCTGGGGAAGTGGGGACTCAGCTTTGATAAGCAGCTTCTTAACATGACCGGCAGAGTCCTCGGAGGAGAGCAGATTTTCCAAGGATCCCGCTCGGTGCCAATTTCTATTTGGAATTCTTTCCTCAAAGTAGGTTATCTACAAAATCCCAATAAATGTATTAAATGACCTCTCTTTTAGTACAACTACAACCCCCAATCAGCTGACTGGTCCAGGGAGATGCGTGGGATTCCTATGATGAGCACTCCTCCACTGGAGAAATGGGTTTTGTTTCACTCCCGCCGTAACTCCAATGAAGCGCAGGCCCTGCTGCAGTCCCTCAACAAAGTCTCAGGTCCCCTCGGTTTCTACATGCAAAGGCCCTACATGTAAGTTTAACACTTTGCAAATATAAAAACAAAATAATAGCATTTATCAATAGATTTGTTTTTATTGTTTTGCAAAGTGGGTCAAATTGTATCCAATTTAGTCTTACTCTATAAGCTTTTTTTTTCTTTTTATACAGTGTTATGTACGATGATAATCAGCTGGCTCTCCTCAAAGCTCTTCAGAGCAACGTTGGACAAGATACGCAAATGGTTTGTCTTGCAATGTTTGATATGAATCCTATTTATCTGCTTTAAAAACTCTGAAGGCAAAATAGCCGGTTGCTATTGAGCTCCAACTTTTAATTTTACCTTTCAGATACTGAAGAGACATTATGATGTAAAAGATGAGTGATGTAAGGCAGAACATGATAATCAGAAGTACATTTAAAATGTACAAATAACTGTACTGATCAGTATGTTTTATATGAAGTATCAAAAACCTTTTAAGTAAGATAATTTGAAGTCTTACATTTTTTAAACAAATTCTTTAAACATGAACAAATGTGAATTAATATGCCAATTTCTTTATATTAAATCATTTTTTAGGAAATCTAACTAAATCATTATATAAATCATACGTATTCTAAACAAATCTTGCAATACAATTTCAATCATTGACATTAAACACAAAGTACAATTTTATACATAAAGCTTTTATTTTTACCTTAAGGTTTTATTTAAAAAAAAAAAAAAACTATCAAATCAAAATTATAAGGAAGTAATTAAGTGGCCACTTGTTTTGTTTACTTATTAAAATATGCAGAGATCTCACCTTTCTTTTTTGCCATAAGTTGTCTGAACAACCAGTACAGTAATAAATAGAAAATTCTATTTAGAAATCCTCTAATCTGAGCTTTATTTCTTAGCAGGACGATTGGCTGAAGTAAATTTGTTTTTGAGCGAAGTTTTCTTGTTTAACGATGAACAGCATGCTTCCTTACATCTTGTAGTACAGACTCTAAAAATCTTTTTAATGCTGTTGATGACTAATCACATAAAAATGTCTGTTCCAACAAGAAAATTGTATAAATATGTGGAATAGTGGACACAGAGGACTACTCTTAAATACAGATTTAATGTTAAAAAGCAGCAGATTTATTCCGAGGTTAATGTCCGCAATATGTTTTCTTAAATTATTGTTTTAGCACCAAAATTGTATAAAATGTTCTTTAAACCAGATGCATTAAACATCCACCATATTAGCCTTAATGTTAATGTCTAGGAAGATGGAGAAAGGAGAGTTGATGGTAACCGTCAGTGTTCTGTCAGCTCAGCATACCGCGTCAGGCCAGCATACCCATACTAATACGCATTCACAAGACGTCAGATTTGCATACGCATTTGCAAACGTGTATACTAGTTTGACACCGTCAGGCCAGCATACCCATAGTAATACGCATTACAGAATGTCCTCTGTCTCTTCTCTCCTTAAAGTCAATCATGCTGTTTTATTTCCTGATTTAGTCAGGTTTTTGTCGTAGTTTTGTGCATAAAACAACAAAAGTCCTTCACTAGCTCCACTACACACATTAGCTTTAAAACAAATAAATAAATCACAAGTCTGTTTGGGGATCTTATTAACGAAGGATCGGCGTTTAAACAAGAATTCCCTGAGAATTTTATACAAATTAACTTAGAAATGCAATTTCTAACATTTTCATTTTTATATTTAAAGCATTTGCAGTCCCTGGAAAAATTACATGATATAAGAAAATAAAATGCATGGCAAAATTATACAGCAATTTGATCATGGATTGAGGTACTTCTTTAATCCCAACATTGAAAATGATAACTTTTTTTTATGGGCCAAGTTGGTAGTAGGCATCTTACTGACATTTGATTTCCTTCTGCTCCTCCAAGCAGCTGTATCAAAGATGACGTAATGTCTAAATCAATATCATTGATTGGCTGGGCGAGAGTTTTTTTTGTACGCGTTTTGTAGATGGCTGCAGGTGCAGTTGGACCCTTCTCTAAATACACTTTAAACTACCACAAGGCGAGTATCCCTTTAGTTTTGCATGAAAAATACACTTTAAGCTTCCTCGACAGGTGTGTATCCTTTAAGTTTTGTATGAAATACACTTTAAACTATGTCAACTGGTGTGTATCCCTTAAGTCATGCACACAAAAAAAATGTAATTACCAATTGTTGGTGATTTTTGAAGTGTATGGCGATCTGACGGCTCTCCATGTGGTTGTAACTGCAGGAATATGTAGCTTGCATGCTGGTCTGACGCGGTATGCTAAGCCTACAGAACATCAGCCTAACGGTGCCACTCTGCTGGGCTACATAAATATTCAAATAGATAGATGATGATAATTGCTACCGTATTTTCACGACCATAAGGCGCACCGTACTAAAAGGCGCAGTCTCAGTTATGTGTCCCATTTCTGTATTTAACACACACATAAGGCGCACCGGACTATAGGCCGCATTTTTTATATACAGGTACATGTCCTCTACTACCTTTAAATAGCTCTACTGCGTATTTTAAAAATACAGCGGGCCCAAAACTGAGTATGACTGTGCTTTATTCATGTATTTATTACAAATTAATCAAACCTGCGTGCTGGCCATGAGACAGACACATCGCAGATGACACAGCGCTGTGATTACTCCTAAATTAACTTAAAATCCTGAAACCTGCCGACGGAATATGTTCGCTTTTATTGCCGGTATCCTGGTGCCTGCACTGTAAATTATTTAGATGAAAAACACCTGCCAGCCGCCGTGTGAGGCTGCTGTTGAAGGGATTTACTGTCGGTGTACCGCTGGTATGTGGGGGTCTGAGCGCCTCCGACAGAAATAGATAATCTGGATGAACTGACTGCAATTAAGTTTTCAGGTGGCCTTTCTCACTTAAAAACATATTAAAACTACTTTATTCCCACTGATCACAGCAAATATAGCTGCAAGATTTAGATTATTTAGATGAAAAAACACCTGCCAGCCGCCGCGGTGAAGAGGAGGAGACCCGCCCAGAGGCTGCTGTTGAATTAAGTTTTCAGGTAGAAAAATAGAGCGGGAGCAAAACTGAGTATGTTTGTGCTTTATTCATGTATTTATTACAAAGTATTAATCAAACCCATCAAAGTCATCATCCTCTGTTTCTGAATTAAACAGCTGCGCTAAATCAGACATGCCAATTTCCCATTCTTCGCTGTCAGTCACTTTCCGTGCAGCGCGGCTCCTCAGAAATAATGCCGGCTTTTGCGAAAGCTTGAACAATAGAGCCAGCAGACACGTTAGCCCAAGCATCTACAATCCATCCGCAAACTGTGGCGTAACTTGCCCGGCGCTGCCTTCCACTTATCCTGAAACTGTGGTCTCCGTCTGTCATCCATCGCTCCCACGCCGCTCGCAGCCTTACTTTGAACGGCCGCTTCACACCGATGTCGAGCGGTTGAAGTTCCTTTGTCAGACCCCCGGGATAACGGCGAGCACAGCGTTCATTTGATTCATCTTTTTTTTTCACACCGGCTGTGAGATGGGCACGCAGCGATGGTGATGCGTGGAAAAAAGCACCTGGTCTCCTCACATACACCTGCCTTTCATCATCTCCCCAGCCCGTTTCATTTGCGTTAATATCATATGTCATCAGAGCGCTGTGTCTGTCTCGCTGTCAGCTCCCAGATCAGCTTCCCTGATTGGTTGATACGGCGCGTCCAGCAGCAAAACTTCAATTTTTCCATCTCGAGCAGCAGCAGCGCGTTGGCGGCGCGCTCCCGACGCGCTGCACCTGCAGCTCAAAACGCGCTGCAGGACCTTTTGCTGCACCTATACGCGCGTCAACCATTGACTTTGCATGTAAACTCGCTGCTTCTGCTGCACCTGCTGGGTCCGGTTCACACCGATGTCCAGCGGTTGAACAGCGAGCACAGGGTTAATTTGTTTCCCCATGTTTTTCACATCAGCTGTGAGATGGGCACGCATGGAGTTACATATTAACAGCGATGGTGATGAGTGGAAAAAAACACCTGGTCTCCTTACATTCAGCCACTCTTTCATCATCTCCTCAATGAGGTGGTCTCAAAAGTCGCAGTTACAACACACATAGGGCGCACCGCACCATAGGGCGCACCGCACATTTTGAGGGGAAAAAAAGACGTTTAAGTGCGCCTTATAGTCGTGAAAATACTGTAATTCCTTTTGTCTGTATATTTTTTCTTAAATGCTCCCCTTTTTTGAAGTTGACAGCAGCTTGAAAATGGTGAAAACTCAATGAGTCCAGAATCGAACCATAACAGCCACGTCTAGGGCTAAGGCTCCAATACAGGGGTCATATGCTTCATTTCTTCATCACCACCGTAGCCGAATGTGAAGATCTTTGTCTACCCTTCAACTGTTGAAAATGCACTTTTGATTTATTGTGTAGGTGGTGGTTGTCCTTCCCAACAACAACAAGGACAAGTATGACAGTGTGAAGAAGTACCTCTGTCTAGAGTTCCCAACTCCAAGCCAGTGTGTGGTGGCTCGCACCCTCAGCAAACCTCAGGCACTCATGACTGTGGCAACGAAGATCGCACTGCAGATGGCCTGCAAAATGGGAGGAGAGCTGTGGAGTGTGGAGATTCCTGTAAGTTCTATATGCTCCTGGTGTAGGGCATCCACACAGTTTAGGTGGTTGTTTATTAATTATGGACGATTAATAAAGAACCTCATAATTCCTTCAATTTATTTTGACATGTTAACCCTTTATAGGACAAGTTGCGGTTTTTGATCACTTGCATATCCCTATTTACCTACTGTAAATTAAGTTGGGGGAAAAAAAGTTAACAAGTCAAGAAAAAAAAAGGTAAAAAGCTAATTGAAGAGTAAAACAAATTAATTATACTAGTTAACAATTATATTTAGGTTTATAAACTAAACAATGTAAGTATCAGCATCATGCCTCTAAGGTTATGTTGTATGAATTTCTTATAGAAGCACTTTTGTTATTTTTCCTAATATATTTGAGAAAGTTGGCATTTCTTATTACATTTACATAAATTTTTTGCCATCAAAACATCCAAAAAGGTCTTGCCCTGGATTCCAATAACACTCTTGGCTTGAAATTTTTATTTTACAAAGTGTTTTTTAATGTTCATAATAAGAATTATACTTTAATAGACATATCAAGTTAAGTTTGGGCATGCAAAAAACTTAGTTGTTTCAAAGCTTTGTGTTTAAGGGTTAACATTAGAACATTTCACATGAAAATTGCTCTAAATAACCACCAAACTGTGCAGCTCAAGCAGCTGATGATTGTGGGCATCGACTGCTACCATGACGTGTCTGCTGGGTGCTCCATTGGTGCTCTGGTGGCAAGCCTCAACCCTACCATGAGCAGGTTGGTAACTGCAAAACATGTTTGAAAAGCCTTAAAATGTACACTATGCTTTCTAGACGTGTGACTATCTCTGTTCTGCCATTAAAGTAGAATTTTTACCTTTCTACCCCAAGATGGTACTCAAAGTGTGTGCTGCAGGAGAAAGGTCAGGAGCTGATGGATGGACTCAAATTAGCATTCACTGGTCAGTTGATCTTTTTCTTTAGTTTTTTTTTTTTTTTTTACTTTTTACATGATTAAATTTTGCACTTTAAATCTGATTCATCAGTGACAGGATTACTGTTTTTTTTTACTATTTTTTTAACAGGTGCTCTGAAAGAATACCTGAAGCGCAACAGTTGCCTGCCAACACGCATCATCGTGTACCGTGATGGAGTAGGAGACGGCCAGTTGCTCACGGTCGTCAATTATGATGTGGCGCAGATGAAGGACTCAATCAAGTCCCTGGGGAAGGACTATGAGTGAGTTTTAAAGCTATGTTCCTTTAAGACGCATGTTTTCTTTTTCATGAGGAGAGGTGATAAAGTGGTTTCCTGTTTTTAATACCTGGATCAGGGTTCCCAAACAGTCTGGCATTTTCCGAATAATCAATTTATAATCAGATAGCCAAAGGATGAAGCATATTGATGGAATAAAATGTTTTTTTGTGTGTGTGTGTTTTTGATCTTGCTATAAGTGTGTTGCTCTGTCAGCTAAAGGCATGTTTTAGAGTCTCTGTACTCCAATTAACGATTAATCAATTACTGAATTAGTTTACAATTATTGCAATAATCGATTAATCCGAATTGTTTCAGCCCTACTGTCCACTCAGTTTTTGTTTTGTCACTTTATTTAGCTGCCAGCCCTCCAAGTCTGATAATACTTGCAGAAAATTTACTCTGAACTTTGTTGTCAAAGCTTTAAAAAGCTGATCAAAAGTGATCAAAGAACTGCATCTTTAGTTTTGAATTTTTTTTTTTTTTTTTTCCTTAAATTGGGGATATTAAAAAAAAAATCAGACACTAAATCTGCTGGTTCAGGAAAAATATCCAATAAGACAGACTTTGGAATCAGGCTTCTGTTAACTTTTTAAAAAACAGTCTTCAGTGAAAACGATGCTAATTTTGTCCAAAACTCCAATCATTGTACGGACAAGTTCTCTTGGACTCTGGAGAACTGGCACTGTCATCGACACGGAGGTCACCCGTCCAGAGTGGTACGTTTGGCTTCCGTTTTATTTTGTAAATCATGTATTGATGTTCTGGTTGAAAATAACAGCTCATGCCTATTTCTTCTGACAAGGTACGACTTCTACATTGTGAGCCAGTCTGTTAGACAGGGGAGTGTCTCACCAACTCATTACAACGTGGTCTACGATACCAGCGGCCTCAAGCCAGATCACATGCAGCGGCTCACATACAAGCTCTGCCACATGTACTACAACTGGCAGGTGGGTTTTTTAATAATTTTTTATCATTAATATGCATTAAACGTTTTTTTTTTTTTTTTTTTTTTTTTTTTTTTTTTTTTTTTGAGAACCTATTAATAGAACAATCTTCAATCTGTTTTCAAGGAAAATTATTAAAAGAGATGTTAAAGAGAACCTTAACAGCTCCCAGCTTTATTTGAAGTTTGTGTGATTAAGCCTGAATTCAGATTCATTATAATTTGATGTGGTTTGTTTCTGTGGTTGGTCTTTTAGGAACTTTAAACTTAATCCATTGATTTTTAATTAAACTTTGAGATCATTGTCCAGTTTAGTTGTATACGTTATTTGAAATTCCTTTAACAGATGGTCATTTAAATTACTACAAAATTCTTTTGGTGAAAAATATTCAATAACATTCAGGAAATTATAGCTAAACTACCTGCTGATGGATGAAAATTACACTGCTCAAAAAAAATAAAGGGAACATGTAAACGACACAATATAACTTCAATTAAATCAAAGTGTCCACTTTGGAAGCAAACTGAGTGACAATTGGACACGCTGTTCTGCAAATGGACCACAGATCATTTTTCAGTACCTATGCTTTCTGGTTGATGTTTTGGCCACTTTTGAATGTTGGTGCTTTCACACTCATGGCAGACTGAGACAGACTCTGCAGTCCACACAAGTCGCTCCGGTAGTGCAGCTCATCTAGGATCAGAATCGATGCGAGTTGCGGTACCTCCTGCCTTTGTGCAAGGAGGAACACTGCCAGAGCCCTGCAAAATGACTGTCAGCAGGCCAGAGATGTGCACGTGTCTGCACAAATGGTTAGAAACCGATAACATGAGGATGGTATGAAGGCCTTCAGTCCACGGATGGGGGTTGTGCTCACAGCTCAATGCCGTGCAGGATGTGTAGCATTGGGCAGAGAACAGGTTTGGTAAATTCCCCACCTGTTCCCTGTGCTCTTCACAGTTGAAAGCAGGTTCACACTGAGCACATGTGACAGAGCTGTGTAAAGCGAGTTGCTGCCTCAGGTCGTCAGTGTGTTTGTTGCAGTGAATGCAAATGTGCCCCCGCCCCCCACGCAGACACTCTGCTGCACCTCTCCCAAATTGTAGGTGACTACAGACAGGAGGTCTCTGATTGGTCAAATCTGTATCCGCTCTACTCTATGCGCATTTCCAGTTTGGTGCCTTACCGGCTTGTTTTGTTTGTATGACCGCCGTTGTGGAAAACAACTCGTGAAGTTGGACCAGCTAGAAGAGCGAGGTGCATGAGAACGCTGGGATCCTTTTTCCATCTGGATCCCCGCTCTTTTTTGCCCTCACGTCCCTCTGTTGTCGCACAAACTTGCAGCCACTTCCTCAACGCCTCGGCCGTATCTAGACCCACAGCTAGTTCCTGATTGTCCCTCTTGCTTTGTAGTGTGGAATAACATAGTGCAGACCATGCTTCAATATTGGGCATAAATCTAAATATCTGCAACAAGCTCACTGTGCCACACTGGTGTGAGAGTATAACCAGCCCTTTTGGGGGCCCTCTGTGTGCTCGCCAGAGGTAGCATGACTGCCATTAGATACCGAGATGAGATCCTTAGACCCCTTGTGAGACCATATGCTGATGCATTTGGCCCTGGGTTCCTCCTAATGCAGGACAATGCTAGACCCCATGTGGCTGGAGTTTGTCAGCAGTTCCTGCAAAATGAAGGAACTGCAGCTCTGGAATCTGCTTGAGAACATTGATGCTTCAGTCCTGTCTGGGAGGAGATCACCACCTGATCAGGAGCATGCCCAGGTGTTGTAGGGAGGTCATACAGCCACTTGGAGGCCACATACAATACTGAGTCTCATTTGGGCCAGTTTTAAGGACATTAAAACAAAGTTGGATCAGCCTATGGTGTGTTTTTCCACTTTAATTTTGTATGTTACTCCAAATCCAGGCTTCCATTGATTAATAAATTTGATTTCATGGATCATTTTTGTTAGATTTTGTCAGTTCATTAAACTATGTACAAAACAAATATTTCGGTGAGAATATTTCATTCATTCAGATTAGGGCGTGTTATGAGTGCTCCCCTTTTTTGAGCAGTGTATCTGTATACCTTTAAAAGGAATGGAGCTTACAATAGACCCTGTACATGATTAAACTATTAAAGAAATTGTCTTTGTCTAAATCTCATGTGAGATTTTCTTTTTTTTTTTTTACCCTTTCCATTTGTGCTTTAGGGAATCATCAGAGTGCCTGCGCCCTGCCAGTATGGCCATAAGCTGGCTTTCCTCGTTGGGCAGAGCCTTCACAAACAGCCCCATGTAAAACTGGACAGTTACCTCTTCTACCTCTAAGCACCAGTTGATGCCTCATTACGTTTAGTTTGTTGTTGCCTAAATAGTTTTGATTCCTTGTTAAGTGGTTTACGTTTCTTTACTAAACTGGATTTTATTTGTTAAAATGCAGACGTTAAAGCAGCAGTCTGTAACATTGAGAAGAGAGCAGACTTCGACTGAAAATTTGAAGAAAAACAGGTTTCACGCCACTCCCCCACCCTCTCTGCTTCACTCATGCCCCACCTCCAAGCCCCATCCCTCTCACAGCACCTGCGCGGCTACCGCATGCGACCACAAGCATCCAAGCAGCGTACGCGGCATGGAGTGTGAACCGGTAAGAGCGATAGCACTCACCTCCAAGCAGCTAGATATAAGATGCTGGTTATACCGAAGTTTGCCGTGTAAGCAGTTGTCGGCAGGTGCAGTAAGGCCAGTTTCTCTTTCGCTGGTGGCTGTCGCTCCGCCATGACTTCCACGCGCGTCCTCCTAACTGCGGCAGCCCGGCGCTGCGGCAGGTTAAGCGGTGAGGGGGGGGGGGGGGGGTGGGGGGGGGGGGGGGGGGGGGAGCTGTGATTGACACTCCATCAGACGCTCCTCTGGCTGTGATTGGTTGTTTTGACTCGTCCCGAATTATTCTTTCCAGATTGAAATACAGGCAGTATGCGGGACCAATTGAAGCAGTTTTTTTCACAGGTTACATATCACATGTACTGCTGTCTGGGCATAGGGACAGTTTTAGCCAATATGACAAAAAAGTGATTTTAAAAACTTACAGACTTCAGCTTTAAGTCTTTAAGTTTGTTAAGAACACTGTTTTTTATAATAAATGTTCAGTTTATTTTGTGTGCGTGTAATGATTTCAAGACGATAACATTAAAAAATATTAAATTTATTTCTTTAAAAAAAAAGATTGCACATGCACACCCACACAATAATTTGTAACCATCAGTATAGCCTGATAAGTTCTTCTCTGAAAGCTAGCACACAATTGCAGACATATGCTCTTTAAAGACACCATGGGGAAAGCTTGCACTGTCTGATTAGAAAGTTAAATGTACAAAAAAAGGCAGTTTGAAAATAGTGTATAAACATTTAAAAACAATTTTACAAATGGACAAAAGTACAAAAACAGTTGCAGTCACTGAAATCAAAGCAATGTCTGTGGAAATGATCAGTTTACTGGAGATTATCGTGGCTGATTAGCCAGAGGTTGTAAGAAAGTTTTAGAATGTTTTGCATACGTTCTTTTTTTTTTTTTTTTCCTCTTTTTTTGTCAGTTTAACTCCTGTATATAGAAAACATAGGCTCAACTTTATATGTGCTGCAGAATGAAAATGGGAAAACGGCTCGAGGAGATGGGGAGGACGTGGACTGATCATCTCATGCGCAAAGTTGGACGTCTGCACAATCCTTTGGGCAGCTTGGATAATACATTGGCTTCCAATTCTTTGTATATTCATACATAAAGGTGTAGATATCTGAAAATATGGACAGACCTACAGTACTTGTATCCTTAATTTGAGACATAACAGGCATCAGTGATGGTCTGGGCTGTAAAAACGGTTTGATAGGAAGGGCAGCATAGAGGTAGCCTTGTCTCACTTTACTGCTGTTGAGTAACTAATCCTACAGTCCAAAGGTTGCATGCTGGAAATTAACTGCTGCACAATGAAGTTGATGCTAAAAGAATTGGTGTTTGACTAATCAATATATGTAGAGGCAATACTTGACTCTAGTCAAAA